ATTCTGCGCCGCAATCTCTTTGAAACGAGAGTCGAAGTTGGACACGCCCCCTCGTATCCAGCGCCGTCTCGCGGAGCACACGGACGTTAGAAGAGGAGGAGGGATTTGTAAACATGTGGGCCTCCGGGTGCGCTTCCAACAGGCATGGAGTAGAGTCACTGCCAACAGCGTTGGCCTCTGCTATAACTGCGTAGGCGTTGCCCAAGGTTGTCTTAAAGAGCTGGATAACAAATTATATTGATGAACCAAAAGGGAGCGATGAAGATGAAAACTGAGGACACAAACACCGCCGCGAGACCTCGAGAATTCAGTCTGCACGCACTAGCGGGTCATCGACACGCCGAAATTGAAGGCCCAGAACACTCCGCTGGTTTGGCCTCGGATAAAATTCACCAAGGAGCTGCCAGCACTTCACGATTTTGAGGTAGGACTCAATTATATCGCAAGACTTTCTGACCGTAGACAGGTCATTCTTTGGACAGCGGTAGCCCTTCCGCTTGCATTAGTTTCTTAACGCTATGCGCCTTCTAGAGGGCCAGCTCCCATAAACGGGAGTATTCACTGGACGCCATATTTGTGGGTGCTCTTTAAAGCGCATGCTCAGAGCGAAGTCACATTAATAGGCTGCTAAGACCGGCAATCGTGATGGTGTGGAATGCACGCTGAAAAAGAACTGCGGAAGCTCGCCGTCAGCACGCGCTCAGCAGTCGCGCACACAGCTATGGCCGCCAGTGAATAGTCCCTATACGGGAGTTTGGTCTTCAATATGATTGAAGTTTGTTAGGGAAACTTTCTAAGATTTTTTCTTTTACTTGGAAAATAGACGGCAGAGCAAGCTTTGTGCTTTCAAGACGTACTCTGCCGGATTTTTCACATAGCTTAATACTACTTACCCTATCTAGACATGAGCTTTATTTTATTTAAAACATGAGAATTTAATAGAGTAGCGCATATTACTCACGAGCCTTTCTGTTAATAAATATACTTTTTTTAATTTTTACCAAGGTAGATAATTTGTCTTTAAATTTTCGAATGAACAAACACAGAATAATAATTATTTTTTCATGTAGCTCCAACTAGATCCAATAAATAAGCCACGTTCATACCCCCGCTACACAGACACCCTTAAAGGCTAACTCCGGTCAAAAGTCCTACCAAAGTAAATGATATATCAATTTACGCAGAGTAAATACGATTTTTGTTAAGATATTTCACTAATGAAAATCGCGATTTTATCTAAAACCAATACAACAAATGCTATCAAGAGCTTCTTAGCGCGCTTTCAGCGGGTTGCTGTTTGTAAACAAGCCTTGTGCCTAGGCGTCGTCTTCGTATTCAAGAAGGGCTCTTTATCGTACTGCCACTTGTTCCGTTCTGTTTTTCTGCTTCGTGTTCAGCCGTCCCACCGTACGAGCTTTGCTTGTCTTCTTATGGCGCAGCGGCCATAGTTTGAGGATGGTCTTCGGTGATCGCGCACGAAGATTATTTACACCCTGGTTTAGTTCAAACGCATTGTGGTACCGAAGTAGGCATTCACCGGCGGTCATAGTTCAGTCAGTTTCTGCCCGGCGCGAGCTTATGACTGGTTTCCACAACGCTTCTGCAATGTTGATTGCACACCGTCAAGGTTGTGGTTTTCAGAAGATAGGTGGGGGCTCATTCGGAGCCTGCATTTATCGTGGCAAAATCGCCTTTCGGTGGGCAACTTTATAAATGCCTATTAATATTTGCTACAGATGTTTGACATCATCAAGGCAATGAGGAAGACAGCCGTAGCATCTTACTTGACTGATCGGAACTGCTGTTACCACTGGGCCAGTCGTACGTTTTGCGGTACCGCGTTACGAGTTTTTTGTCATATGATGGCCAAGCAGCTGATCCCAAGGGTTGATATCATGCTCGATCCGGTAGTTTGGGTTTTGCCGTAAACGCCCTAAACAAAACTTTGAGATAGAACATCTATATATAAAAAAAAAAAAAACTGCCCAAGGGTGACGAAAATAAACCCTGGAGAAGGGGAACAAGAGGGACAAAGGACAAGCATAAATCTCCAAACACAGCTAGGTGACTGGTGAGCGACCGAAAAAATCCGTCTGGTCCGGGTATCGAACCCGGGACCTCTCCATTACAGGTGGAGCGCTCTACCAACTGAGCTAACCAGGGGTTAGACGTCAGTAGAGCAAACGGGTTTTATCAGCTGCCACCAGCCTAACACCAACAACGGTGAAGCTTGCGAATTTAAGGTTATAACTAAATGCAATTAAATGCAAAGGTGCAAGCGAGCTGGACAAGAATGACGAAAATAATCCCTGGAGAAGGGGAACAAAAGGGACAAAGGACAAACATAACCGGACCAGGCGGATTTTTTCGGTCGCTCACCAGTCACCTAGCTGTGCTTGGAGATTTATCCATTCTGATGTTAGCCTGAGACTGAGGCAGGAAAAGAGGAAGTTTCAAAGTAGAAGAAAAAGGAAAATTCCTTTTTCTTCTACTTTGAAACTTCCTCTTTTCCTGCCTCAGTCTCAGGCTAACATCAGAATGGTTAATTTCCACCAGCTCGCCTGCGCACTCACTACAATATCATGGAGATTTATGTTTGTCCTTTGTCCCTCTTGTTCCCCTTCTCTAGGGATTATTTTCGTCATTCTTGTCCAGCTCGCTTGCACCTTTGCATTTAATTGCATTTAGTTATGCCCAAGGCACCGAGAAAAAACAACTAAAACCTTTTAATTCGGGGACACTTTGTTCACTAAAAACAGACGTATTCCTAATATCTAAAAAATGTACCAGACTTACCCTTCAGCCTTCAGTCGCCCTTACCTGCAGTTGCACTCAACCACAGTTACCACACTAATCTCGGACAGCAAAGTGAAGACTGCGCTTGCGCAGCTTTGATGGTCGTTCAAGATGCGCAACCGCACGGACGCCCATAGCTTTGACTACACAGCCACAGAGAGTGGAGCACAAAGAGTGGAGGGTGGTAACTGTGGTTCAGCGTAACTGCGGTCAAGTGTGCCCGTGGGACTAGGGTACTAGAGTATCGGCATTATGTTACCAGATTATCTGGAGGGTGACGCCATTTTGGTTCTTAGCGCAGGGCGGGCGCGATTGGCTATCGTTACTATTCGAAGCTACAAACTCCAGGGCTTTAGAGTGGCGCTAGGAAGCTCACGTGACATTGCTTTATTATTCTGCAAGCTGATTTAACATTAAAAAGAGGACGAACAAGTGTTTTCGGCGATCTAAATCTAATATAAAGCTTCCGATAACTGGAAACATCTATTAGTTCGAAAGCATTAGCTGTCTTAAGCCTGGTTCAGACAGTTGCGTTTGACTGCGTTTGACTGTGTTTGACTGCGTTGCTGCTGCGAGAAACCAGGACATCCCTGCTGCTTATATTGCGTGCCCAGATGATTCCTTGAACTGGATTCCACGCTTCATAAGGAGCACAGATGTGCAGGTGACTCGGTTTCGGTTCTCGAAGCCACGTAGTCAAACGCACCCAAACGCAAATGTCTGAACCGGCCTTTATGGAGCGAAGGCGGTGAACCCGGCAGAAACGGCAACGAAATTTCCGTTTGCTGGGCGTTATCTGTAGCAGCAAAACAGCATCTGAATTCCCATTGACTGCGAAAACTTTCTCAGGGAGGTTTCTGTAAACAAAGTGAATTATTGGCTCTCAAAAGAACTTTGCGTACGTTTTGGTCTGGATGGGAATCAAACCCAAGCCTCCGGTGTGCGAAACGAGCACACATCCCCGACGCCACGGCGACTCCACGGTTCAGGCTGACTAAAGCTCTGCCTAGTGCGTGCGTCATGCTTCGGCATTCCCACACGTAAGCAGTCCTAAGTATCTCTGCGGAATTTTGAGCACCCAGATCGCTGAAGGGTCTTTACTCTGGAGCCTGGCTTATTTAGTAGCGCTAGGCACGCGGTACAAAAGTATTCCGTGAGTTTACAGTTAGGATGTTCACAGCAGCAACAAGCTGCGCTAGAGCCGTCAGTGCACTTAGCTTTAGAAATATGCGCAGTGATGTCAAGGGAAGGGCGCTCAAAATAGCTGCGTGAGAAAACTTTAATCTGTTAGTTCTCGCGCAAGCAAATCAGTTACTGAGCCGTCACACTCCCGCCTGTTCTTTGCAAAAACAATATAGACAGGCCTCTCGACACGCCGCGTAGAATGTTGCCATTGACACAGTTGGTTTTATCTTGGTCAGTTGGTTCTTCTATTTTTTATATCATGTCATGGTGCGTGTAAACGACAAATGTTGTCAGCGTTTTTTACGCCGCACCAACGCCGTCATGCCAAATATACCTTATATCTGAACACTATTGTACAGTAATGTCTCGTCACGAGGAATGGTATTCTGATCTGTGTCAGTCGTTTGGCACGAGCAATACGCTAGCATGATAAAGTGGCGCGGTCGCGCGCGGCGGGATAATGGGATGTGCCCCTGCGCTAGGCTGTGACTTGTAATTGCGTCTGGTTTATCAGACGGTTTTATAAGATTCCTTTGCCAAAACAAGTGTTCCGGGACAGTTTACTAGATTCCAAAAAGGTTTTGACTTTTAAAATTTTTTTTCGCTGTGGTTTTGACTTTGTTTCCTCCTAAGGTGCAGCTACCAAGGCGCATCATCTAACAGATTTCACAGTATACGCTTGAATGTCAGTATAAATGACCATAGAGTATTGACTATTCACTCCGATTCAACTTTCAAGTTCAATACCATATTGATATATTTGTGTTATTGCTTATACGAAGACAATGCACCAAGTCACAACGACAGTTGGAATTCGTGTTATTTAGTTAACTGTGCTTCCAGTACTTTCATGCGTTGAAAAGGCGGGTAACACCATGTTTTATCAGGTCTGAAAAACAAAATCCAGTGTGATTTACTTACTGAAGTTTTTCTGCAGTTTCCAAAGATTTCATCGAGATAGAAAAAGGGTCCTTCGCAGTGATCTCATCAAGCCTTCGTCTGCGAACTTCACGTCCGCCATGTACCCCTCCAAGCGTGCGTCCTCAAGTCTAACAATAGTAACCTCTGAAGATCGTCTATGTCGCAGAGGCAGTAGCCCCGGTTGGGAAGAACTGTCCCCCGTTGTAATGCTCGAGGGACAGACCGGATCTCGGCCAGGGCAGCAAATCATCGTCGTAGAACAGGAGAGTGCTCGTCAACAGGGGCAGCAAATCATTGTCGTTGAAGAGGGGTCGCGTAGACAAGAGCCGCAACAAATAATTGTGGTAGAGGAGTCGAAGAGACAACAGCCGCAACCAATCATTGTGGTTAAGGATGAATCTACCAGTCGACAGGCACAACCTATTATCGTCTTTGAAGAAAACAATCAACCGCCGCCACCACCGCAGATCATCTTCATGGAACAAGAGTCTGGTCCTCCCCCAGAGCCCCAGATAATATTTGTGCAGTCAGAGTCTCAACAAACTCCTCCAGAACCCGAGATCATCTTTGTGCAGTCGGAATATCAACAAGCACCTCCGGAACCCCAGATCATCTTCGTGCAGTCGGAATCCCAACAAGCTCCTCCGGAACCCCAAATAATATGCGTGCAAAGGGAGGTGGAAGATGAGCAGGAACCCCAAATTGTCTACATCAAGAAAGAGAGCTCCCGAGATGCTGTAGATCAACAAGTTGTCTTCATCCAATGCGAAGACTCTCAGTGTTTCTATCCGGACGGCAGATAATCTATCATTAAAAAAAAAAGACTAGTCATTCTGGTGTACATTATCAAAATTCGCTTATATAGAGGAATATTATGAGTGATCAGCGTCTAAATCTTTCGGTCTTTGTATATCTGGCGCTGAGCACATATGGGTTGCACAAACATGAATTTTTAGCAGCACTGTATCTCACTAAGGTTAATTTCCTTTGCAACTTGTGAAGATGTGAAGATGTTTTATATAGAAACTTAGCAAAGCTTTTTTGACATAACCAAATGTTCATGATGCCCTAAAGTGCACAATGTTTTCAAGTCATTTTACGATGTACGTGGGGCAGAACATACTACTTGACGTTTCCGTTCACGAAGATCTTTTTGAACGGAAACGTTTTCGTGTTAAGTAAAATTCCCCAGGTCTACCATCTGTAACATCCTACTAGTAGAGATCACATTCACTTCTAATAAATATACGCACTCTGGCTTTGACAAAAGCTGGTTACCCTCAAGTGTCTAGGAGCCATGAAATGGTACGCATTTACCTGTTTTTGCTTCACATAGCACTATATCCTTCGCTAAGCTACCCAAGCACCTACAAGCGTGCTTCGTTTGTATTTACGAAGGGTCTATGTTCGCGTACCACTTTCTGCGGCAATGCAATCAAAGAAAGCTATGGATGCACGGTTGCTGGCGTACCTTAAGCGCCGATTAAAGCAGTGCACGCGCACCCTTCACTACTACTAAAATATCACAAACGTTGTCCACTATTATGCCAGGTGGTTTGTTTACATTTTCAGATACGACGCTTTTTTGTTTTGCATCTGTTTTTTTTTTAATGAACCTACATTCCTGGAGTTTTGAGTATGATGTACGTTCCACCTAGGCGCATCCTTGCGAAAACGTTCACTCTAGTCGGTTCATTTAACTTAGTTTCATGTTGTTTCACTACTGAGTTGCACTCGCGAAAACCCTGCGTATAGACATGAGCATCAAGAAAATTATCGTAAAAGTGTATGATATTACAGTTTGATTAACTGTAATAAGGCAATTCGTCCACAGCAGAAAACAGCATAATGTATCAAATTTGATTATGCAGTCGTTCATGGAAAAATAGTCTAACATTTTCTAACTGCGGTTTGGTTACCTAGTCGGTTATTGTTCCAGAATAATAAGGTGACACCGCAAAATCTCAGATACCGGGCTTGAAAATCAGAAATGTCTAAATTCATAATGTAGGACTAGCTTATCTTGAGCGTATAACTTGCTAGGTTATACCCTCAGGATGAGCTAATCCCATATTATGAGTTTAGGCATCTCTGAGTTATAACTTGCTAGGTTATACGTAGATTATACGATTTGTGTCCGGTGATAACGGAGGTTCGGGCCAAGCAGTCTGCAACATATCTCTAAAATGGATGCGAACGTATCAAAGAGCTCGGTTAGCAAATGCCACTTTGAGCAAAGCAATAAAAAAGGAGGCATATAATAACGGCCCAGTCAGTTTGATCAACGTGTGCTGCAGTGCAAAACTGGGCTTTGGTTCTCGATGATTTATAGACGTAACATGGTATTGCCGCAATATTTAAAAAAAAAAAAACGTGCGTCTGGGCGCCTTATTTGCGAAGCACGACTCGGTTGCAGTGCCTGCGTCGGATAGTCATGACATTTTGCGCACAATATATTCACTTTATTGTGTTTTCCGGTTCATGCAGGGGCCATCGTATTCCGCCATAGCGCTGCCGCGGCTGCCGCGGCGCAACGGCTTTTTTCCAGAAATCAATTTGTCAGCCTCTCGTTCATAAATCACAGCAGTACGAGACACCTCATATGGACACTTTACGGCTTCCATCGAAACAAATGGTCCTCGGAATACGACGCAGACGAAGCTCCCTTCCATGTTCCCTCTTTATACAGCACCTCGACTAGGTTGGGGAGTTACTCCAAAGCACACTAAAAAACAATAAAAAAAGCTATAAAAATCGAATTTACGGCCGCCGAAAATTCAAGCAAAAAAGAAAAAAAAAACTTATGACGTGCATTTTTCTAGGCTAGAGTTCGATACAGAGCATACAATGTAACGTCACCATTCTTTAAAGCAGATGCCAGAATATTCTTGAATCAGTCAATGTAAAGAAAAGAGCGCAGGAAACAAGAAAGGGGAAAACATGGGCTGTCGACACCGTCTCTTTCAAGTGACTTGATTAAATTTTCATTTACACTATACCTGAATAATTAAGGTCGTGGGGATATTTATACAGCGTGTAGTTGGCCAGCCATTTCGAAGTTGCGACGAGTCGCTCGCTGTAGATGAGCAATTTAGCCAGTGCAGAACATCCGTTAGCCTGGAGTCTTTCACGTTCACCACGCAGTAGTGATACACGACCGCACGCCGGTACGATGCTCATCTAATGGCAGATCGCAACGGGCAGGGGTGGGGACTGAACCCAGGATCCGTGGGTTCTGCGGCGCAAGCTTTCGCTCCACGTGCTCCGAGCTGATGTGCGCCGGCCCACTCGGCCACCGATCCCCCCCTCTACTACACTTGATGCACCATGTTGCCTGTGGCTTACCTCGTTTCAGTTAAGTGGATCGATCGGGGAGTGCGCTACTAGCGATCAGAGCTAATCCAATATCATGTGAATTTCACTTGACCCTTCGGAGGGACGAAGCAACGCGCTGTTCGCGTTGTGACGTCATACATTCAAAGCACTCGAGAGGCTGAGATAGCTCGTAGCGTCAGCTGTGGTCCATCGCAGTGTTGTGCGGAGCGGCGTTCCAAGGATCGGCGTTCCTGGAACGCGTTCCTTTTAGAAGGAACGAAGGAACGCCGCCGTTCCATTTTTGCATCGCTGGAACTGGAACGGGAACGCGTTACATTTTTACTGGAGCGGAAAGAGTAACGGCGTTCCTTTTTTTCGTCCAGTGGGGTAATTTTTATTTTCATTCGAACAGGGAAATTTTGAAAGTACAAAAACAATATCTTTACGCAGTGCAGGATCTCGTTGCCTTTTTGGGTACTAACCTTGTAGGTTATTTTGTGTGGTCCTCGCTTGCTAACAGTTTTGGGTGCAGGAGAGCTGATGGACATTGATTCTTTTTTGAGTGCCCGAAACTGTGGTACAAAAGCAAGACCTTTAGTCGTAGGAAAAGACAAAGAAAGAGGGTTGTTTGAAGCTCAGCTACTTTCTCTGGTTCTACGAATCCTCATACACCCAGAAATCTAAGGCCGACTACAGCCACTTGTGAACTTCCATAACGGGACCTACAGTTACAACAAGATCACAGACTGCCAGACATCGAACACACCCTTGTATCCCGAACATTAGTCACTTAAAAGTTACAAAAAAAAATATTTCTTCTCTTGTTCCCCCCCCCCCCCTCACCCCCCCCCCCCCCCCTTCAAAATGAACAACAAAGCCAACCTTACAAAGACGTATTCGTATTTTTTAAGACTGGCCTTCCAAAAGCCTTACCCTCTCCTAGACTTGCTCATCTTTCGGACGGCAACATCGAGAAGCAACTGTTGCTAAGTTCGAACAAGGGACTTTGCTCAATCGAAACGTGTGAGGTTGCTGTAAAACACTCATACAATGTTGTGAAAAGTACATTCGGCTGGTCTGAATCGTCCACTACAAACACGAATCTGGTTAAAAGCTGAGATTTTTAACTTGAATATATCAACAGATGAAACCCTGCTTCCGCTTGTTTTCTTCTCCTATTGCCCTTCCATAACGACATACAAACACGTATGTTGACTAATAATGGGATAGATAGAACAAAGAAAAAAACTCTGCTTGATTGAACTAAATACAGTAATTAGCAAAATACAAATGTTACGTATATCTAACGATACGTTCCATTTTTTCAACTGTAACGGGAACGAGTTCCTTTTTCACAGATGTAACTTGTAACGGGAACGCGTTCCAAAAATCAGAAGGAACGAGGAACGAGCTTTCGTTCCTTTTTTTGAGGAACGTGTACAACACTGGTCCATCGTGAGAGGGTACCATTCAGTGATATCACATAAATAAGAGTGATTCCAGGGCAAGCCAACGACCCAGAAGGTATCGACATGATATTATATGTAAAAAAAGGACAACATTAGATAAATATAGCATTTTTTTACGGCGATCAGATGCAGCCGCAGTCAAACTAACTGGAGCATTTCTGGTTAGTGAAACTAACCAGAAAAAAACACTGAAGCATAAAAGCACGTCCACGAAAGATATAGTAAAACTAGAATGGTACTAACCAAAGGAAACATAATTTGATAGAAGCCAAAAGCACTTACGAAAATATAATAAAAAAATGCTAAGGCTTGGCTTTCCTCGCAGAAGCACTTTTATACCCCAGTGGCAGGGGCACGTGGTGAAGCGTAACTGCAGTGTCGCTGATGTAGCGATGCTCACGTGTCGTCAGTCAGGTACTTGTCGTCTGCCGTGAGCAACAGTTTCGACGGTGCGATACAAAGCTGCGTGAACGCTCCCGTCACCACGCGCTTAGGGCGAGGTCAGCGCTATGCTTGTAGCGATCCGCTGCATGTGTGAACAGGCCTTTTCACTCTCCGACAGCTATTAGCAACGAGATGTTTTGGTGGCGCCCTCCTATGGTTTCCTCTCGTGACGTTATTACCTTGCGAACAACAAGTTCGATGGTGTTTGTAATTAGCATGGTGGAAGCTGGAAATCATTGAGCTTTTTAACCAATACTGCCAACACCCTCAAAATCGAAGTTCGTGAATTACTCTTATTTCCGTCGATGAGGAATCCTTTGCTGACGTCAAAGTCAGCATTCGGCCAATCGTGGAGGGCCGACCACCGCGACGTTTTCGATCGGTCACATCAGAAGTAAAGAATGCGCGTGCACAGCTTTGATGAGTGCTCAGTATGCGGGAACGTACGCGCGCCCATCGCTTTGACTGCATAGCCACAGAACGCTGTACAAAATTACGAAAGGAGGATGTTCGATACTCTGTTTCATACTTAGCGTGCAACGCTGTCAAAGCTACTGGCGCGAGCGTGGGGCTTG